TAAATATATGCACATAGATCTATTTCCCCATCCTCATATATAAATATATTTACATATGTACATGCCTTTATTTAGATCTCTATAAATGCTCTTTGCTTCCTAGCTCTTTTCCTCTATTTCCTTTTACTGTCCTCTTGTCCCACTATCATGCTCAGCCTTCATTTGGGTTTCAGTAATTCCTCTCGGTTACATTACCCTTGATTATGCCCTACCAGGCCTTCTACACCCTCCTCACCACTGATTTGGATCACTTGTTGTTCCCTTGTCCCTGGGTTTGTTAACACTTCCTTTCCCCCAACCTCTCCCTCTCTCATTTCCCTCAGAACCGTCGTCCCGTTGTTTTCTCCTTCAGATTGCTCATCCAGCCTATCTTATTTAGACAGACCTGTGGAGATAATAACATGAACAAAAACAAGGCATAGCAAAAGAAAGCAACAAAAGAAAACAAAACAACAGCAACAACAAAAAGCCAATGACACACACACCCCCCCAAAAAAAAAAAGACCAGCAAAAAAGAAAAGTCTGTAGTTAGTTCAAGGACTGTTTGTTGGCCTTTAGGAGTGTTTGCACCATCAGGTTTCTTGTTCTCTGCTGCTCACTCCAAAGACCAGTGCTCACTATCTTTTGGGTTCACTATCTCCTTTGTATTTTTTTGTACATAAATTCAAGAAATAATTTAGAGCATTAAATTAAACCCTTAACAACTTCAATCTTTTCTCTGTTTATTTTATTTTTTTAAAAAAATAATCATTTTATTAGGGGCTCATACAACTCATCACAATCTGTACATACGTCATCTGTGTCTAGCACTTTAGTACATATGTTGACTTCATCATTCTTACGACACCCACTTTCCACTTGAACCCCTGGTGTCAGCTAATTTTTCCCCCTCCCTCCCCACTCCCCTCTCCCCCTGAACGTCCGGTAATTTATATTTTATTATTATTTTATCATATCGTACCCTATCCCACATCTCCCTCACCCACTTCTCCACTGTCCGTCCCCCAGGGGGGAGGCCACATGTAGACCTTGTCCTCTGTTCCACCTTTCTCCCTCTCCTTCCCCCTACCCTCCCGCCATCGCCCCTCTCTGTTTATTTTTGTATTGTCTGTTAGTCTAGATGTGAGGATTTCTGTTTTCTTTATGTTGAGATGTGTTATGGTGACAAAAGAGACTCCAATCTTAATTACAATTTAAAGAGAGCATTTATTAAGTCTTTAAAGAGATAAAGACCCTCATCTAGACCAGATCAAATGCAGGGATGTACATGGTAGACAACTGGGGAAGAAGTGGGGAAAGGGGAAAAAAAAAGATGAAAATAAGGAAGAAATGAGTAGCAGGGGCACCAGGCACTAACCCACCCAGGGGGAGGGTATTGTTTATATCTCCACAGGAAAAGAGGGACCAGACTTCAACCCAGTGCTCCAAGGTGTGAATGCAACATGTCAGTGTGGAGTAGGGAACCAGTGGAGAGGTCTGGGGGTCTGGCCCCAGTCCCAAATACTAAGTGGATGCCTACCCCTCCCCCAAGAAGAATTTATTTCAAAGATGGCACTGAATC